GCCCCGGCCCAGAGTGCTGGGGACGGGGAGAGGGGCTCCGTGTTCTGGTGCCTGGGGGAGGACGGGCCAGGTGACCTCTCCATCCACGACTTCCTGGCCCAGGAAAGCTGATCTGCCCTGTGCGAGCCCAGTCAGCCGGTCCTCAGCGCTGCAGGCTCCTGCGAACGCAGCGGGCATTCAGGAAATAGTTGTGGCATGAGTGAACCGGCTCGATTGGGACCCTACAGCCCAGTAAGCCCCACAGCCCGCCGCCAAGTTCAGCCAAGGGCAGCCAGGCACATGGAGGCAGGGGAGGGTGAGGCCCCATCCTCTGAGGAGGCCGGGGGAAGAGGCCTGTGGCTTTTTCTGTGCTCTTCAGGACAGCGGGAGGCGGGGGCAGGCCTGCGGCCCCTTCCCCACAGGGGTGACAGCACTCCCCCGCCCCGTTTCAGCGGAACTCTCTCTTCCCTGCCCTCCTCCTCCCCACCCCCTCTTGACTGACACCAATGCTGGCTCTGACATGATTTAAAAATAGATATCAAGACAAGGAAGTTTAATTTTTAATGCTTTGGAAAGGAAGCGAACACAGAGCCGGCATTCCCTCACGGCCACATTCCCAGGTCTCGGGGCATCAGCCCCCCTCCCCGAGCAGAGCCAGGCCTGACCCACCCCAAGGATCAGGCCCCACGTGTAGCCGCCCTCTGGGAGCCGGCCAGAGCCTTTGGGAAGCCTCTACATACATGCCTCTTGCTGCCCAGCTTGGCCTGTATCTCCTGTTGGGACTCTGTTCTGACCCCTCAGCCCACTCAGGACTTCCGTTCCCAGACAGAAGGCAGCCCACAGACTCAGGACACCCCAGGCCGCCCAGCCCGGATTGTACCAGACCCTATCCTGGGCTTCACGGACACAGGGCAGCTACGGCATCCACTGGCGGCCAAGCCAGTACCAAACGCGTGCCTCCAAGGTGGCTGGAGAGCCGTGACCAAGCTGCCCGCACCCAGAGGTAGAGTGAGCGGCCCGAGAGGGGCCAGGCCGCGAAAGCCTGCCCCCACGTAGGGGGAAGTTAATCAGGGTGCCCACCCGACACGCGGCGCACGCAGCCCTGCACCAGCCCTTCTCCTGCCCCAGCAGGCACACTGAACGCTGCCTCCTTGGCTAATTGGCCTTTCTTAAGAGACCAATCCACAAGGAATAGACTTTCAGGTGAGGCCAGAATGTCACTGCTCTGCCAGCCATGATTTAAAGAGATGGGACAGCTCTGCTGGTGAATATGCAAAGTGACCATTATTCTGAGTGGCAATTACACTAGCCACGCCAGCCCTACTCCCAACCACTGACCCCATCAGATAGGAGCCCAATTTGGGTTGGGAGGAGGTGGGATGGGATCACGATTTGCCATCCCGAGAAAGGGACAAAGGCCCCCAGCACTCAGAGCTTGCCCCGATACTCAGAGTTGAAAGCCCTGAGCCTTTTGTGCCCTCCTGGAGGGGCTTAGCTTCGCTTAATCTCTGCCTGGAGTATTCCACCGGATGGTCCTGGGAGGACTGAGAGATGGGGCTGAGACGAGGAGAGATAGCTGGGGCGGCTGGATTGCTGGTGGACAGGCCCCTCAGTATGGGGAAACTTCTGTGCCAGCTCATTTCGCATCCACCTGGAAAGCCAGCATTCTCTTTGAGGATCTGGGTGGGGCACGCACGGGCACAGAGGAGGTGGGGCTCATTCAGGCAAGCTGACCTCTACCCCACCGTCTATGTCAGGCCCTCAGAAACGCTGCCCTGGGCGCCAACCTGGCTAGCACCAGCTGGCTCTAGGCAGCAGTGCCAGGGGCAGACCTGGACGCCATCCCCTCCCCCCCCCCCACAGTTAGGCGCCCAGCAGCCTGCAAGGCACCTGCCCTTCCCTTCCTCGGAAGGAGGAGGGGCGGGGGAGGCCAGCGCACAGCTCCACCTCCATCCTGCCCCCGGTGATGTCATCCGGGCTCCCCCCCCCCCCCACCCCCAACCCCCCCCTTCCCCCCCCCCCCCAACACCAATACCCTAGAAGCTCCACCCAGTGGCAAGGAGCCAGGCCTGCGAGGGGCTGCAGCGTGAGACAGCTGCACCTCTCCTGGCAGCGGGACTCCTCCCAGCGGGCTCCCGGGAGGTGGTGGTGTGGCCACAGCGGTGGGATTGGAGAACGACCAGGTAGGCTTCAGGATCTATGGGGAGATCTCATTCTATTGATTACAGGCCTCAGGTTCAACTCTAATGCCTCAGAAAAGCCTCCTTTTGGGCTCTGAGCCACGAGACTAGAAAGTCATGGCTACATAATTCCTAACAATTGCTCTGGGTCCCAGAGGGCGTGGTGCTGACCCTCCTCGCACCCACCCTCTCACTCACGTCTGTCCTTGCCTCCCTGGTGCCCTGGGAAGCAGCAGGGGTCTCCAGAGGTCCTGCCTCACCAACACCACCACCCGCCTTTGCTCCTTCTCTTCCGAGTTGGCTCTTCCCTCCACTGCTCCTTCTATTTCAGGCCCAAGCACCTCCCGCAGGAAGCCTTTGCTGGACTGGGGTACAGGGACGCACAAGCCCAAGTCCTGGCTACACCTGCTCGTCTACCTGCCAAGAAACGCAGTGGCCAACACTCTCACACACACAAGCATCCGTTTCTCTTCTGCTGAACTTTCCATCTCTCCTAAGGTCAGGCCTTATTTCATCATCCCATACACTACAAGCATGAAAGAACTGGGTCTCTGAGACTCAAAATTTGTCCCAGCTCATGGCATGTTGTGGGAATTCTGAAAATATTAAGTAGCCAGAAAAGTCAGAGGCTAGAAGAAATTGAGTCCTTGCCGGGTAAGAGAGAGGGGATAGGCACTTTCTTATTAGGAAGAGTAAGTTCTCTCATTATAACCAAAAAGGAAGGCCATTCCACTGACCGGTTCATTAACCACCGGAAGAGAGAAAGTCGCTTGTCACCCCACAGCTAAGGCGCCAGGACAGTCTTCATCACTGGCAAGTCTGAGAACTAACTTCTCTTTCCTGTCAGGTGGGATTGGGAATCCCTACCACATCTGTGGGTTTACTGCGCTGACCCTCCCTTCATTCACTCACAAACACACAACCAGTGCCTTCCATGTGCAGGGCACAGACCACAGCACTAGCTAGCGCGTGGGGAGGTCCCCAAACGCCCGGAGAAAAAAAGAGGCGGCACACGCAGTTATACCTACTCTGGCCAGCAGGTGGCGGGGTGGGGGGCGGGGAGGAGCGCGTCTGAGTGGGAGGTACTGGCCAGGGCACCGAGCACCCCAGGAGGGTCTTTCTAGTAAGAGTGGGGCGAGGCAGAAAGGCAGAAAGGTAGGCGGAGACTGTGAACAAGGACAGAGAGGGAAGCCGTGCACAATGAATGGGCAGCATTCATGGAAATCCGCAGGCCCCAGGCAAACACACACCAGTGCTTGGCTGACACGGATGCTGGCAAAAGAGCCAGAGGGCCAGGAGGACTTGCCCAGAGGCAGCCACAAGATCATTCCTGACATTCCAGTGGATCTGCCCCAATTTCCACAAAACCCTCACCACAGGACAGGTAACATCTTACCAGCAGTGGCCCAGACCCAGACCTGGGGAAATCCTACTAAAAAGATCTCAGACCAGGCTCCTCAGAAGAAAAGGGAAGGGGGCTCCCTCCCCAGAGAGAAGGTGAGGGGGCAGGATGTCCCATAACTAAGGGGGTGAGGCTGTGAGGGGGACCATCACGACCGCCCCCCACATTGGACTAGAAAGGAAACCCAGTCCTTAGGGATAAAGTGATTTGCCCAAGGTCACACAAAGAGCTAATGCAGAGCCAAGGCCAGAGCCCAGTCTTCCTCCAGCCCAGGCCTGAGCTCTCCCCTTCCCAGGGAAAAGTCACCCACCCATACACACCCATGAACGTTTTTCAGTTAAAGTGGGTCAGTTCACACAAGCACTGAACACCAAAGCACACCGCACGCAGCCCCCCGCACTGGGTGACTCTCCTGCCCCCATGCTCCTCCTGGACCATGGGCAGTGGACAGCCTCCACAAGGGAGGAGGACAGCCCTGGGGCAGAGCCAAACATCTGTGCTGACTGCGTCTGGGCTCCAGAGAAGAAAGGCAGAGGCAGAAGTTGGGATGAAGGAAGAGTTAGATACGCATTTAAGAAGTTTCTAATTTGCCTAGTATTTCTCGTGCACAGGGGCACACAGGGGCAGAACAACAGGGGACTGAGCACAGTTCCGAGCTGCCCCACCCACTGGCACCTGCTCTAGAATCTCCTCTCTCACCAAGGATGGGGCACTCCCCTTGCCCCTTCCAGGCTCTGGGTCCCATGGCGGGAGCACATGGCTGGCCCGCTCCCTGCCCAGTCCACTGCAATCCCTCAAAAGCAGCTGCCGCCACCCGATGGCAGCATCCCTCCCCCACCCTCCCTCTCCACACAAGCCCTAACTCGGGGGCAGGGCTGCAGGCCAGCGAGCGGCCCCTCAGCCTGGGATGGGGGCTCCGTCTCCTTTTCCTGGGATTCACGGCAAGGATCAGGAGGGCGTGACCTCTACCACTCCCCCCCATCTCACGCCCATAAAGTGCCGCAGCCTGTGTTCGTGCACGTCCAGGAGGAAACAAGAAGAAACTCGGAAAACCGTCCGCACTTCTGCTTGAATTGACTCAAGGTCACAGCTGCTAAGAATTCCGACACCACACCTATTTCCACACGTTACCCCGTTGGGGGCACGGCTTTCTTACAGGGGGAGAAGGCGGCGGCAAACTTCAGCAGCCTCCCAGGAGTAGAACAATTCTCTCCTGGAAGACAGGCAAGTTGCAGCTTCCATTCAGCCACCACGGAGAGAGAAGGGAAGAGAAAGATGAATGAAAGCGGGGGCGAGGGGGGCGGGGGCCGGGGGCACGGTTTTTTAAAACCCACTTACCGCTGTGCAGACAGCAGAGCAGTGCAGCTCTGCGGGGAAGAGGGTGTCGTGCTTAAGCAAAGAAGACAGGAGACCAAGGAGAGAGACTGGGAAGGACTCACCCAGAATATCAGATTGAAGAGGAACATCGTGTACTTCAAGCAGCAGAGGCAGCCTCTGGCCATGTTGCACTTCTTAAATTCTAGGAGGAGAACAAAGGACAGGTCCAGGTAAAACACCACGTACTTGCTGCCTTTGGGCGCATTGTACTTGTCGGTCTTCACGCCAGCCTCGGCGCGGCTCTGGCCGCGGGAGCCCGCGGTGCCGTAGAAGGCGCCGGCCGTGAAGCCGCGGCCGAACGGGCGGCCCGAGGTGGACGGCTTGGCAAAGTCCGAGTCCTTGCTGTCCAAAGATGGACTCCGGTGGATCGAAGAATCCTCGCTACTCGACTTCTCCATGCTCGCGTCGCTCCCGGGGGGCGCGGGGGGCGGGGGGCATCGCTCCCGGAGTGGCACGGAGGGAGCGCCCGAGTCGAGCGCGGGCTGCGGGCGGGTCGGAGGAGCCTCGCACGTCGCCGCTCAGCCCCGGGGCGCACTGCCGGCCGGACCCCGCGCTGGGGGTGCCGGCGCCCCGCTTCTCGCCGGCCGGCCCGGGAGGGCTCTGCGGCGCGGCGCGGCGCGGCGCGGCTCCACGCGCGCTCCCCGGGAACCGGCTGGCCTGCGTAACTTAGAGTCTTTGGGGAGGCAGCGATTTGCTTGCTCGTTCCGGAGCGTCGGCTCGCCTCCCGGGCGCACCGCAGCTCCACGCGAGGCACCCGGGCGCCCGGCTCCGGGCTCCCCGGCACCCCTCTCCCCGTCCCAGCCCGGCCCGGCCTGGCCACTTTGCGGGCGCCCGCCTCCTTTCGCCCCGCGACTTTGCGGAGCTGCCCCCGGCCCTGGGCTGCCCGGCCGCGCGGCGGGCAGTGCCGAGGGATCTGCCGCAGCTTCAACCGCTGGGCTCCCCCTGCGAAATCCCGGCCCGACTCCCGACTCCGAAATCTCCGGAGCCCCCTCCCCGGCCCTCGGCCCCGCCCCCTGGTTTGCATTCGGCCAATGAGCGCGAGGACTGCGGGGGGCAGCCTCCCTCCCGGGTGACACCACAGCTTTAATGGGATTAGCGTTCTGCCTGGTGCCTACACCAAGTGCGCCGCGAGCCTCGCTAAATGTCAAGGGCTCCGGAGCCGGGGTGAACCAGAACCTTCATCGCAAGGCGCTGGCCTCTTTCCGGGGAGAGAAGGGGGCGGGAGGGGAGGGGAATGGCTGGAGGTACCACGACCCAAGGAAACCTCCCCAGAGGGAAGTGCTGGGGAAGACTGGAGGGGAAAGAAGTGCGGCCGCTGTCCAGCTGGCCGCCGCCCCCTGTGCCCACGGGGGCCTGTCCGACCCGGGCACAAGGTCTGTCGGCTACACACACAGGTGCGCGTGTCTGCACACGTGGGTCAGGCTAGGGCGCACGGGGAGCTGGGACCGCAGGGGAGGCGCGAGGTGTGGGAAAGGCCCTCGCGACCCGCGCCGCCCGCTCCGCCCCCCTCCGCGCACGCGCGCACGCGGCTCCGGAGGCTCCTGCAGCTGCGCAAGCCCCCCCCCCCCAACCCCCGCCCCACCTCCCCAGAGGGAAGTGCTGGGGAAGACTGGAGGGGAAAGAAGTGCGGCCGCTGTCCAGCTGGCCGCCGCCCCCTGTGCCCACGGGGGCCTGTCCGACCCGGGCACAAGGTCTGTCGGCTACACACACAGGTGCGCGTGTCTGCACACGTGGGTCAGGCTAGGGCGCACGGGGAGCTGGGACCGCAGGGGAGGCGCGAGGTGTGGGAAAGGCCCTCGCGACCCGCGCCGCCCGCTCCGCCCCCCTCCGCGCACGCGCGCACGCGGCTCCGGAGGCTCCTGCAGCTGCGCAAGCCCCCCCCCCCAACTCCTGACCTGCGTTCCGGTCGGGAACCCCCCACCCGGCTGAGAAGAGTAGGTGGCCCAGGTAAGGTCCTGCCTTGCCCCCGCGAATCCTGCCTTGCCCCCGCGAATCCTGCCTTGCCAAGGGTGGTGTCGGAGTGCGCTGGGATAGCGGCGCTCCGGGAGGGCTGGTCAGGGCACAGCACCAAGAATGCTCTCGGTAGGAGCTTGGGGGCATCCAGAAGGAGCCCTTCATCCTACCATGAAACACCACCTGCGTCCCGGGCTTGTGCAGAGGTCTGCGCTGCCCAGTTGGCAAATAAAGAAGACCAGAAGACAGGTGGGGGGCGGCACCTCTGCCACCAGCGAGAGGGTGCTGAGAGCCCCAGAACATAGCCACGTCTCCCCTGGCCCTGCATCCCACACCTAACAGCGCGCTCGGCCACCGGGAGGCGCTGGGCAGGGCGACTGGATGGTGTGAGTGTGAAAATGTCCTCCCGGGATCCCATCAGACGTTTACTCCACACCTGCTCTGTGCTGAGCGCACCAGGCCCTGGGGAAACAGGTATGAGGTGTGCTGCTCCCTGCCCTTCAGATTCAGATACACAAGATCTAGCCAGGAAGACAGAAGGACATTAATCACCAAGGCCATGGGCAGGAACAGAGCTAGCACATCCGCTCTGGCCGAGGGGGACATTCATTCCGACCAGACCCTTGTCACAGATCTTCTGCGGGGCCCTAAGCTGCTGAGTCTGCACCTCAGGGCCGGAGGCAGGCCTGCATTCCAGGGGTGCGGGCGCTCATTCTGAGGGCAGCCCAGCTTCTTTAAAAGGACCAACAGCGGTGCTACTATTCTGAGCCCCTTCCCCACTCAGATGGCAGCCCAGCAACGAAAGCCAGTGTGTGTCACAGACACGGCACCTTGCTGTCTCCTGGTTAGGCACAGCAGTCCCGTGGGTGCTGTGCACACATGAGGGGCAGATGTCCGGCTGGCTCCTGGCAGGTCCCACGGCCACCCGACTGGAATGCCTCTTGTCCTCTTCAGCCCGGACCGGCTCCTGAGGGCTCGCGGCTGCCACATCACTTCTCTGATGTGGGAGAGATCATACCAGCTGGACTGAGAGTCAGGAGACCTGTTTTTCACTCTGAGCCCGACCTGAGGTCTGTGATCAGGGCTAGGTGGTCCGCCTTTGTGAGGTGCTATCTCCTCCTCTTTAAAATGGGGTTCACAGAGCCCAGCCCCAGAGGAGTTGGCCTGTGTGAGAACCGTCTGAGGCCCCTAAGAGCTGAGCCAGTACCAGGGGCTGTCACTGATAGTCTCCGACGTGGACTTGGAGTCAGCCAGCACCTCCCAGGCTGGCCCCCACTCCCCACCCCTCCTTCTCCTTTCTTTTCATCTCTCTCTTCTCCCCAGCTCACACCTTGTTCCGTGAGAACAGGCTCCCCACTGTCCTGGATCGTTCCACCCTCATTTCTGATTATATGTGGATTTGTGCCAATAGCTATTTCCTCAGCAGCTGAGGCCCTGGGGGGCCGGGGCTGCAGGACAACAGGCAGGTAGGAGAGGAAGAGGGGCTGCCCAGTGTAAGCGCTCTGCTCTGCTCCCTCCTGGCCACGCTCATCGAAAGGGCACTGAAGTCCCACTCCCGTGAGGGCTCGCTCCCAGCTTAGTCATGATCAGAAGCATAAGAGCAACTCCTATTTGCAAGTCCCCAGTGTATCCCAGGCACCAAGCATCACCCGCCATAACTGACAGAATCCTCAGGGCAGCCCCACAAGATAGGTATGGTTATTATTCCCATTTTACAGATAAGGAAACTGTGATTTCAAAGCCCATGTTCTTTACTCTCTTGGGCTCTAAACCTAGTTCCTGCCCTTGGGAATCTGCCAGTCTAACAGACAGAATCTAAAAGCACAACAGGGAGCCTGATGAGGTCATTAGCAGAAGGAGCTGAGTAAGGGGCAAAGGGGAGAGGGGTGGTCAGGGCAGTGCCGCTGGACCGGTGGTCAGCAAAGGGGAGTCCCCCAGGAGATGGCCCTACATTATCGTACAGCGGGCTGGAAGAAGGAAGGGTGAGGGGAGAAGGTAGTTTGCAAGACAGGAACTGAGTCCCCGATAGGAGGCAGCTCAGGCAACGCCAGGAGACCAGCCATGGGCAGGCGGTTTCAGCCAGAACGTCGTCCTCCACTGCCACCATGAAGAGACCACTCATGCGTCATAGACAGCTCATCGCGGCGGGACACTGAGCAGGGGCACCGGGAGAGACAAAGGTGAGTGAGACATGGCTGTGGCCCCAAGGGGCTCGAGATGCAGTGAACAGACCATCCCTGGAGAAGCCCACAGCAGAATGACAGAGCGCACACGTGCCACGACAGGACGGCACGGAGCTGGAGTTTGGCCTCCCCTTGGAGAAGGGCTGGCTGGAGCGGGCGTGGCAGGGACAGAGGAGGGGGGAGAGCACGGCTAGGGGAACTTCGGGGGCAGTGAGGAGACGGCGCCTGGGGGGCCACAGTGAGCTACCTGTGAGGCCTCGAGTGACACTGGGAGTCTGAGCTTCATCCCGGGGCTTCCCAAGCAGTGGGGCACGTGACAGAATCGGGACCCTAGGAAGCCAGGCCTGGCAGCAGGGTGGAGAGGCAAGGTCAGCTGCTGTGCTGCCTGAATATCTTAGACTTTGGGTGCAGAAGGAACCATCAGAGAGAGAAGGTGATGTGAGACACCATCTCTCCCCCGTGATGGTCCTCATCTACTCGCCGGGCTCAGGGGAGCCAGAAGGTACAGACTGCCCTTGAGGATCTCAGCGCATGTGAACAAGGCAGAGCTGCCTTTTTCTTTCCTTTTTTTTTTCTTTAGACAACAAAAAAAGTAAGCAGGTACAGAATCCCCAGAGGGGAGGAAGAGGTGTGAATACGTGAAATCAACATGCAGCATCTCTGCTGCCTGGCAGCTGGGGAGGTTGTTGCGTGTTGCGGCTTCAGAGTAATGCCAAGCTCTTGGCCTCTCCCTGCATGTCTCAGGCCTTTGGGCTCTCGCTAACCTGCACACAGGTGACGGGCCACACAGATCCCCTTCTGGTCCCACACTGAGTATCTCTGTATCTGACAACATGTGTAGCTCGTGAGGCATCCTGGACCTCCGAGGCTCAGGCAGGGCGGCCCCACCAGAATTCAGGTGAGACAGAGGGGCACTCGCCATCCAGAGGGGCCGCCATTACAGAAGGGAGCCTTATTCACCTCAGCTTAATTTTTAAACTCCCAAATTGGGATCCTCTTCAGCAATATAGAAGATGCTTTGATTGCCAAGTAAAACCATTTACCGATGGTGCCAAAGGGGAACAAGGATGGCCGATGGATGAATATAGATAAAGAAGACGCGGTGTATATATGATGGAACACGACTCAGCCACTAAATAGACAAAACCCTGCCATTAGTGACAACATGGATGGACCTCACGGGTTAAGTGAAATAAGTCAGACAGAGAAAGACAAATACCAAATACCGTATGATTTCACTCATATGTCAGATATTAAATACA